ACATAGGAGTAGGAACCTTTGAAGAAAGGTTAGAAATGATTTAAGTTCAATACTTGTGTTTAAAATTATCAAAAAAGAATACTGAGGTGATTTGTGTTTATCATAAAATGGGGTCCCAAGTCCTAGGCTAGGGTTACCCAAATTCACATTTAGTGTAGACTGGTATGGTGCCCTCAGCAATCCTCTTGCCTTTGCTCAAAAGGAATAAGATTAAGGTTTAGATAGACCATACCAAGCAAATTGTATTTTGTGGTTTTGGTTTTTTGTGGGTTTTTTTGTTTGTCTGTTTTTGTTTTGTTTTGGGTTTTTTTGTTTTTTGTTTTGTTTTGTTTGAGTCAAGGTCCCTTGTGGACCATATTGCCCTTGAGCTTCCTCTTGATGCTTTTGTTAAACTCCTGACATCCTGACCTGTGCTATCATAGCGATGATATTGGTGGCCTGAACCTACAGGCTGGCCTCAACTCCTGGGATTTTTAAGGAGTTTCCTTTAGGGATTTTAGAAGCAGGCTGAGGGTGTCCATCAGAGTTCCTCTCTAGCTATATAACTGGTGCAAACATGGGACTCCTCTGACTGAAATAACAGATACACAGGCTGGAGCAGTGGGTCAGGGAAACAAAAACCATAATGAGTAAGCTCAGAAAAGAATTTTTACATTAGCGAATGAAGAGAAGAAAGGAGCATGAAACAAAAGAAAGTTGGTGGGGACAAAAGAACTGCTGATCTAGAAAAGGAAATGAACTCAGGATGAGATCCCAGGAGAAGAACATAGCATATAGCATATGAGAGGGAATTGAGGTTACCGTACCAGAAAGGAGGGTCAAGCAGAAGATGTCCAAGCAGAGAGGTGTGGGTTGTTGTTGGTTTTTGACCCACCACCCACATAAAGATATAGACATCTGTCTTAGTTTAAATGTGATTGGCCCCCATAATCACACGGGGAGTGGCACTTTTAGGAGGTGTGACTTTGTTGGCATGGGTATGGCCTTGTTGGAGGAGGTGTGTCACAGGCTTTGAAGTTTCCTATGCTCAGGATACCACAGTCAACTTCCTGTTCCCAGCAACATGTAGGACTCTCAGGTACCTCTCCAGTACTGTCTTCATGCACACTGCCATGCTCCAAACTATAATAATGGACTGAACCTCTGAAACTGTAAGAAAGCCACCTCAAATTAAATATTTTCTTTATAAGAGTTGCCATGATCATGGTGTCTCTTCACAGCAATAGAAACCTAACTAAGAAAATATCACTCTGACAGATTTCACCCTGGGTAGTAGTACAGAGATAAGGAGGTAAATAGAGTGTGCTAGGCAGCCAGGAAAGCCAAACTGTTGAGCTTCCAGTCCAGTGTGAGTCACTTTCTCAAACACATAAGTCACAAAAAAATTAAAGAAGAAACCAACCAACACCTTCTAAGAGCTTCCACATGCTGCTGTAAAACTCCAGGTGCCCTATTCTTACAGGAATGCAGCACACATACACACACAGCTACACAGAGGCAAACTGGGAGACAGACAGAGGCCAGAAATAGAGAGAGAGAGAGAAAGGATAAACACAACTTTTTGACATTTTAACTAAAGTTATGTAGAGCCAGGACACTAAAAACTGGCATTTGGGGTGTGTACAAAGGTGTACTTGAAAACATGTGAGTTTTATAAACATATAAACACATTGCAAACTGGTATGTGTGCCTGCAAGCATTTAGCCAAGGACTATTCCTTCAGCATTCAAGATAGATTTTAAGTGATTGTAGCTTTATTTTATCTGGCTTATCCTTCTACATTGTAAGTCCAACTCTTCATATGACCATTAGAACTAGTTTTCTGTACCTCCAAAAGACTTCGTTAAACTTAGGTTTATTGCTTATTTTTCTATTGCTGTGTTAAAATACCATCGCTAGAGGCAATTTATAGAAGGAAGAGTTTTTTGGGCTTATGGTTCCAGAGGAATGGTAGGGAGGCATAGAAGAAGCAAGCAGCAGGTTTGAAAGCAAGAATGGGAAGCTGAGAGCTCACATCCTTATTCACAAACACAAAGCAGAGAGAACAGAATAGAAGTGGCCAAGGCCTTTAACCTCAAAATCTGCTCCCTTTGGCATACTTCCTCCAGCAAGACTCTACCACCTAAGCCTCTCCAAACAGTGCTACTGCTTGGGGACAAAGTGTTCAAAGACCTGAGACTAGGGGACATATCTCCTTCAAGCCTTCACACCCCATCACCAATAACAAACAAAGATGTCTGTTATCACTACTTCTGGCGAATACCGCACAACAGAGAGATGCTAGCATTACACAGAGGTAAGAAAAAGGCATCAAAATAGGAAAGAATCTTCTCCTTTTTCACAGACACCATGATGATGTACCTCCAGATAATCCCAAATAATCTACAGAAATTTATGATAAATAAGAAAATTTGTCAAGGACACTAAGTATATCATATGTAACACTCAGCTGTTTGATTTTAAAAATATTTTAATATCAAGCCAGGCTCTGGTGGTGCACACCTTTAAGCCCAGCACCTGGGAGGCAGAGGCAAGTGGATCTCTGAGTTTGAGGTCTATCTGGTCTATAAAGCAAATTCCAGGATAGCCAGGGATACACAGAGAAACCCTGTCCCTAAAAAACAAATATATATATATATATATATATATATATATATATATATATATATATAAAATCAGTTTTGCATGTGATACACTAAAATTTTAAAAGAGCATATAAAGTTCTAGTCCCTGATGTACTTAGGAGAGATTACACCCTCAGGACTATGATGCAAGATAAAAATTGTTTATCAGACAATTCCCAGTGGCTCAGCTAGTATCCTTAGAATCCAGATATAGCTGTTTTAGGCCATCCACACCCATACCTATGGAAAATTACTTTTCCTTGGAGATTACTGTAAAAAGAGAAAGAACCAATTGAGCTTCAAAGCCTCTCTCTCTCTCTCTCTCTCTCTCTCTCTCTCTCTCTCTCTCTCTCTCTCTCTCTCTCTCCCTCTCTCTCATACCTCCCTGTATACTCATGAACACATGTACAAATTCTCAGGCATGGAGGGGGGAAAGGGAAGAGAAGGAGGAAAAAGAATAAGAGAATACCATGTTCCTTCTGCTGCTTGCCTCTCAAGGTCTCAATATAAGTTTTATTTTCCTGAATGCTAAAGATGTGAATGAGATTCTCCCTTGAATATTTGGTTTCTTGAGAAACATCACTAATTTTTAGGGTAAGTATCAAGTTTCTACATTGGTGGTATATTCTTATTGTGAAAGAAATGAATACAGCTTAGGAAGGAGGGTGAGTTTCAGATAGTCTTATCTCCTAACATTTGAAAAAGGCTCAGTGGACCCTCTTAGAAGGCTACATCTCCATACAATATTCTCAGTTTTCCTTTTGAATTAAGCATTTGGCTTTTGACTTCTAAAATATAACTCCAACAGGGGGTGTTTTAACAAAAGAAGCTCTTGGCCAAACCACACATAATCACAGCAGTTATGAGAGAAAAATATTTATCTTGTGCAAGTAAAGAAAGAAAAGAATGATATAGTTCTATTCCACAACTGTCTATTTTTATGCTGTGTTTCTTTTCAGAGAAATGCTTCTATTCCATAGTTATGATATATTTATTATTTCTCAACTCAAAGTGCCCCGGTCTTTGTTGTTCTAAAAAAACAATATGAAATTAATAAAGGATATGAGGAAAGGAGAATAAATTTCATAAACCTTTAATTTACCTACAGTACAGCCATCTATTGGGATGTCATGTGGGTCTCTCCCAAACTATCAAAAGATACTATAAATTTTAAATTGATAATTTCGAATTAAAGAGTCTATTATCTTTCCTTCACTGTCTTCCTCCATGGAACTATAACCATTCCCACGATTACATTTGTTTCTCTGTTACCGCTTTCAACCCACACATTTAGGTCAATGTGGCCACTTCTCCAGATCTGTGTTTCCTACCTGCATACATTCATAACTTCATTTGATTCCATCAACACATGCTATAACATCCAGTGTTCCCCTCTCTTGCTATATATGATTATTTTGTGAACTCTGGCCCTAATATCTAGGCTGTTTTGCCACAGAGTATAAAGTTATATTATCTACTTTACATACAAAAGCATAGTTTGATTACACGACCTGAGAAAATTTTGAATCTATGGTTCTGTGAGATTGTGATCCAGATAGAAAATAAAACACTATATTGTTATGGGAATGTCAGTTGCTTTGGTTTATGATAAGAATCATCTTCATTCTCAACCAATTGACTTTAGAATCCATTAGACTAGAAAGTAATGTAAGGAAAACATTGGCTTTTGAAGTTGTATTTCTAGTGACTCATTATCATCTGTTTATTTTATTGTTTATCAAATAGAGGGTCATCTGGTAGGGTTAGGAAGGAATTTATTATCTACAGTATTCCAGTTTTACTTTTGAAAGAGTTCTGTGTTTTTTATTTAAAAATATGTTGGTATACATAGATGATTTATATCCTAGGTAATTTAACTTTTCTATGAGTCATAATGGAATAGTTTAAGCTAAAACATAGTTGAAATCATTGCCAGGATGACTCTAAAGTAAAACTTTTGAAAGTGAGATATATAAAAACTACTGATGATTGCTGATATTTCAATGCAGAACAGGCATCATGAGGTAGATGAGTAATGTCTGGAACACAACAAATGTTTTGTCAGCCTAGCTGTGCCAATAGAGGTCATCTGTAGTCTGTGGAATGGATGACACAACTCAGACACAGGGACCAGACATTACCTTCTGAACACCTAACATTAAAAGAATGGACACAAACTATATGTACCACATGCAAAAAAAAATTGTGGAGGGCACATATAGTCAGATGGAGATGGTCCCACAAGAAAGACAAATTAGCCATTATGGGGAAGAAAATTATGTTTATCACATAGTCTGTGATCTTTAGGGGTATTTTTCTGTACAGAGACAATTCTGGAATTCTGGACTGCTCTACCATGAACTTCCAACGCTCATTATGTCACTTCTAAATGCCAGCAGCCTGACTCCAGCTTCATTTTTCCTCAATGGCATCCCTGGTCTGGAAGAGGCACATTTGTGGATCTCCTTCCCACTGTTTACCATGTACAGCATCGCTCTTACAGGGAACTTTGGACTCATATATCTTATCTACTCTGAAGAGGTCTTACACAGACCTATGTACATCTTCCTAGCCCTTCTTTCCTTCACAGATGTGCTCATGTGCACCAGCACTCTTCCCAACACTCTCTGCATATTATGGTTCAATCTCAAGGAGATTGACTTTAAGGCCTGCCTGGCCCAGATGTTCTTTGTGCACACTTTTACAGGGATGGAGTCCGGGGTGCTGATGCTCATGGCCCTAGACCGATATGTGGCCATCTGTTACCCACTGCGCTATGCCACTATCCTCACTAATGTGGTCATTGCCAAGGCAGGGATGCTCACTTTCCTTAGGGGTGTGATTCTTGTCATCCCCTTCACATTCCTCACCAAGCGCCTGCCATACTGCAAGGGTAATGTCATCCCCCACACCTACTGTGACCACATGTCTGTCGCTAAAATATCCTGTGGCAATGTTCAGATCAATGCCGTCTACGGGCTAATGGTTGCCCTCCTGATTGGAGGCTTTGACATCCTATGCATCACCGTCTCCTACACCATGATCCTACGGGCAGTTGTGAGTCTGTCATCAGCAGATGCTCGACAGAAGGCCTTCAGCACCTGCACTGCTCACATCTGTGCCATTGTCATTACCTACGTCCCAGCCTTCTTCACCTTCTTTACACACCGCTTTGGGCGACATACCATCCCTCCCCATATACACATCATTATGGCTAATCTCTATCTTCTCATGCCTCCCACCATGAACCCTATTGTGTATGGAGTGAAAACCAAGCAGATACGAGAGAGTGTCATTAGGTTCTTGTTTAAAGGGAAAGAAAAGTCTTCTCACGAAATTTAATGGATATGTCTTAGAAGCCTGCTTTCAGTTCAAAAACAAAAACCAAGCAAACAGACTTTAAAGCCTGTGTCTGGCTGTAATAAGTGCATACATGCGACTCAGATTCTTCTGTTTCGAACAACAGCAATCATGTTAATGTAAGTAGAAAACCTATTATGAGTTCAAAATTTCTTCCCTTGAGCTCTCACTGAGTTCACCGATTTTGATCTTCGTGGACAAGTGGACAAGTATCTCTCTCCTCAGTTACATTCTTACAAACATTACAGTAGTGCTTGGATCACTAGGCTTATAGTTGACTGCTTCAAAAATATTCATAACTAACAATATATTGCCTATCTTCAGCAATATTTGTGCTTATTTCCTCATCTCAACTTTGTGTTCACAAAAATCACTTGAAGTTTATTCTTATGTCCTATGTTATCTGTTTCTAAACTCAAATTTCCTAGCTATATATTCATTTGTGATTCATACACCTGCTCACTAAGAAAACTTTTAAGAGATGTGAATCATGGAATACTTATACTGTCTAAAGGTAGGTATGATAGCAATATTCATCCATATCAAACTAACTGAATATATAGTTTGAGATTAATCAATGTAATCATGAATGAAAGAAACAATATATGCTTTCATTTGTATAAAACTCAGTAGCAGGCAAACTGATTTATGTTGTTAGAATTAGGATCATGCCGGGCAGTGGTGGCGCACGCCTTTAATCCCAGCACTCGGGAGGCAGAGCCAGGCGGATCTCTGTGAGTTCGAGGCCAGCCTGGTCTCCAAAGCGAGTTCCAGGAAAGGCGCAAAGCTGCACAGAGAAACCCTGTCTCGAAAAACCAAAAAAAAAAAAAAAAAGAATTAGGATCATTTTTGCCTTTGAGATTAAGACCCCATGTAAGGAGGAATGTGTTTGAGATACATTAGATTCAGTTCTTGACATGGATGACAGGTGATCAATCATTAATCTTTTATTTATGTTGTGAACTTTTTCTTCATACATACTTTACTTTGATCTTATTTTTGTTTCTAATAACATGAGTTATGCAATGTTCTGACTGTCTAATCTTTGGAACATTTTATTGGTGAAATTATTAAGGCCACTCCACGTAGTTAAAGGGAGATTTATTTAATGGCATAACTTACAAATTAAGGGATAGGTAGGTCGCGGAGTCTGGGGAAGGTGTATCACAGTCCAGCGGTGTTCTCTGGAGCTCTGCTTGGTCCACCTCCACTATCCAGGGTCCAGCAACAGAGAGAGCGCCTGCCGATACAGCTCTCAGGTCCCCAGGCGCCTCCCTTGGCCCTGCCTTGTAGGCGTGACAGTTGCCGAAGTCTCAATGGGGGTTGGAACTTCCAGATCAAAGCTGGAATGGCTACCCACTACAACATTTCTTTTTACCTCTTAGGCTAGTTATACATGTATATATTTGGTTTTCTTTTGGATGAATGTTAAACTTAGTGTAAATTATATTTGCATATTTGTACAAATTATAATAAAAGTGTGGACAAGATCACAGTGAAAAACTCCCTCTGTTCAAAATCTCCTTCATCCAATTCCTACCCAGTGTGCTTTTTTGAAGAGGTTGTGTTCACATGCATGTGCTTGCACTGTTCTCTCTGATGATTCTTCTCCAAGATGTGTTTGAACCTTAAGGGAGATTATTAATCATTATGTTACATACAATGAGGATTTAACTCAGTTATTACATCTGTACCCGTTCTCCTCTCAAGACAGTCTATAAGCCATCTGGTACACATATATTGTGTACTCTAACATGTGGGGTACACACAGGATGTGTGAATAGATTTCTGTTACCCAGACATCAATGTCAGGAGGCTGTATCTTTGACTTTTCTGATCTTAGGAAGGTTTTGTTTGCTATGATTCTGAAACTCTTCCTGAATTTATTTATAATTTCAGTGTAATAACTGAAAACTAATAAACAATTCTTGGATTGGTGTCATCATATGAATATTAATGAGTGTGGAATATGAATATTGATCACTTTACAAACAATTCAGGATTTGGACTCCTTTGTTGTTGGTCCAGGACCATTACCCTATCTTTTCTGAAGTGCATTTCTAGGGTCAACATTTTTCAGAGATGTCTGAGAATATGTTTTACTAGTTAAACAGTAGAGGCATTTGTATGGAATAGGATAGAGCAGATACCTTAAAATATTAAGAAATTACATCATATATAAGAACAAGTGGTGGTTAAAATATCTCAGGAGAAGATAATAACATTGCAAAGGTCTTGTAGAAAGGAAGAAAAAAACCACAGGAATAAAAACTCAAAGTAAGGGACTGGAGAGATGGCTCAGAGGTTAAGAGCACTGACTGCTCTTCCAGAGGTCCTGAGTTCAATTTCCAGCACCCACATGGTGGCTCACAACCATCTGTAATGAGATCTGGCACCCTCTTCTGTGTACATAATAAATAAATAAATCTTAAAAAAAAAACTTCAAAGTAAGCCTGGCCAAATTGTAAACATCCTTAATACTAGCTACTCAAGAGGCTAAGGTAGAAAAACTATGAGCTCTAGGCCATCCTACACACATAGTGAGACCTGGTTTAAAACTCATACAAAAATAACTCAGAGTATGTATTGATATTGTGCCTAGGAATACAAATATCTGCCTTTTTGAGTTGTCATTGAAATAAACAACTGTCAAAACAACAGAAGAGTTGATCTTAACTACCATAAAATACTTTCTTTTTAATACATACTTTAGATTTGAATGCTAACAGCTGACATATTTATAGGATACAATATCATGTCACAATTCATGTATAGTTAAATGATGAATAATTGGATTGATGAGCATGTCTGTTATCTTATATGTCATTTCTTTCTCAAAATAACACTCACAATCCTATCATTTCCCAAATGTACAGTAGAACTATAGATACTATTCTTTGTATATATGAATTTGTACATGGTGGCTCCCCTGTCTTCTGCTCAAGATGCCCTCATTTTCTGGTAAGCACTATTGTGTTCTCAGATCTCTATGAGCTTAGCTATTTGGATTCATATGTAGTTGAAATAATACAGTCCCTGTCTTTTTCTGACTGGTATACTTCACTCAGAATTGTGTCCTCTAAGACCATTGATGTTGCCACAGTAAGTCATCCCTTAGCAATGGATAAATCACATTGCCTACATACATCATAGTTTCTGAATTTGTCTGTCACATGTTGGGATAATATAATGTTTCATTCTCATTATTATACCTTTAACAGACTCCTAGATTTTCCTTTTTTCATTTTCTCCAATAAAAGCAAAAAATATGAAGAGTGGTGGAGGCTCTGGACAAGTCTGAATGGTGCTTTTAACCAAATTACCTTCACTCTGATGGAAAACAAAAAATCCTTCCACACAGTCCTCAACCTAGAGGATGACTGGAGTGTGGGGCAAGGGGGAAATGATAAGCATTATAAAGGGGGCATTGTGAGGATCTTGAAAGACATAACATACCATCTTCCTCCAGAGAAAATAAACACACAAGAAACCAAACACTAAATCAGATGAAAAGATGAATTATCGAGTAGCTTTGTGCAAGCACATTAAATGTACACTCTCATAGGAAGGATTTTTCAAATTTTGAAATTAAAATTTAATTATAACCTTTTCTCCCTTCTCTTTCCTCCCTCTTTTCTTTAGTTGCAGTTATATATATATGTGAATATATAAATATATTTCTTTATATATATAAATACATATTTACATATTATAAATATATAATACAATCAGATCTGTCCACACAATATTACTTGTATGTATATGATTTCAGCAGGGAATTTAATGGCTACAACTAACTCAGCTCTGGAAACTCTTTTTCAAGAAAATGGTATTCTCTTCATGTTCAAAAGGTAGGTATGTAACACATAAGACTGTAGTTCATCTGGGTTTTTTTTAATGCATATGCCATTTAAGGGTCTAATTCACTGATTTATAAAAACCAGTTTGGGGGCTAGAGAGATGGATCAGTGGTTAAGAGCACTGGCTGCTCTTCAGGAGGATCCAGGTTCAATTTACAGCACCCACATGCCAGCTCATAAATGTCTATAACTCCAGTTCCAGGGGATTTGCTGTCCTCTTCTGGCCTCTGTGGGCACCAGGCATGTGTGTGATGTACATACGTACATGCAGACAAGATACCCATACATAGAAAATAAAATAATAAGTCAAAACAATTAAAAACAACTTTGGCTCTGATGTGTGGATGTGTTTGTAGCTTCCTATTTTGTTTGTTATGTTTTTATAATATCAGCATGCTTTTTGGGTCACTCCAGCATGTGTTTTGTTTGAAGTCAGACAGTGACTTCCCTGCTTCGCACCTTTTGCCCACAGTTGCCCACAGTTGCTTTGGTTAATTGAAATGCTTTGTTGTTATTTTCAGTCTGGTCCTCAGAGAAGACTTTCACTGGTGTTTTGATAGGGACTAGACTGGATCTGTAGGTCATTTTGTATAGCATGTAAATTGTAACAACATTAATTCTGATAAACAGCTAACAATTGGGTTTTTTTTTCATTTGTTTATGCCTTTTTCTTTTTTCTTTTTTTTTGTTTATGCCTTTTTCAATTTATTTCTTCAATAATTGGTAACTTCCACTATGTAGCTTTTCTAAAACATCTGTTTGACTAAACCCCTATGGCTTATTTGGAATCCAGTGTAAATGAAGTTGTTTTCTTGATTTCACTCAAATGGTTGACTGGCAGTATCCTCAAGCACTACTGTGTTTTGTTTGTTAATTTAATTTTGTGTCCTACAGCTTTATTGAATTTATGACCAGATTTGATAGTCCTGATACTGTTTGATGATCTAAATGACTATGCCACCAAAAAAAAAAAAAAGAAATTATTTTTTCTTGTTCAATTTGGATGACTTTTATTTTATTCTCTTATGTAATTGCTCAAAGATCAACCTTTTGTTGAATAGAAATGGGTGAGAGTCCTTGTTCCGGATGTTAATGGTAAACTTTCAAAGTCTCCCCATTTAT